TAAAAATGAACTCTGTGCACTTAGCTGAAACTTATCCTTTATTTATACAGCAGTGTTTATTTAGTTTCTAGCTAATCTAGTTGAACCTTACACGCTGCCAGTTCAAATTTCCAGATTTGGACATAGATTCTATAGCAATCCAACTCAGAGGTGTATCATCGTCAAGGACCTAAATGCAAAGGGCAGCTCTGAACGAGGTTTGTTGTGGCGAGCTGTCATTGACACACGTCTCTGACTCATGGCGACCCCACAGCAAACAGAACAAAACGTCGCTCAGTCCTCCACATCACAATGGATTGGAACATTGTGTTCCCTGGGGTTTTCATTGGTGGATTTTTAGCGGTGGATCACCAAGCTTTTCTTCCTGCTCCATCTTAGCCTGGAGGCTCTGCTGAAACTCGTTCAGCATCATAGCGACACACACGCACCTCCATTAGATTTTTTTGGTGTGCTGACCAAGAATCCAACATGGTCTCCTGCATGGAGCCTGGAACCACCACAGCTTTCCAGGAAGATGTGCCAGGGGCTTGATATTTGAGTTCTTGAGAAGAGAAACAATCTTAAACAAAGAAAAAACCTTGACTTTATGATCAAGTATGCTGGTGGAGGGGTGGAATTGTGAATGTATGTGCCAAATGAAAGGCTGTTTCTAGGTGGAATGAGGGTGCCCTTGAAGTGGGAGTAGCACCCGGTTCAGTAGTCTCCTCAGACTGTACAGGACTCACTAGAGTGGGTAGTAGTGAATGAACACTGGTTTATTCCTATGGTTTTGCTGTGAGTGCATCCTTGCCTGTCTACTTTAAAGATCCTTCATAGCTTAGAGAGCACCCTTTTGTCTGTCCTTAAGGAAACCCAAAATTTAAGAGAGGAGACGGAACAAAGAAACATCCCTGAAGGATGTCATTGAAGCAAAGGACTCACCATAATAAGTTAATACATTTTTTTAAGTTCTTAAACATCCATAGTCAGACCCTTATTTTTTGACTTGGCATATCTTCAGCAGTTTCCCTGAATTCATTTTGGTGGTGAAGAATGCCTGTGTGTTTGTATTTGGAAAATGAAAAAAGCTGAGTAATTTGTCCTCCACGTTAGGCAGTGTGTGATACAGAATTCTCGGGGGAGAGACTGTGTCGTAGCAATTCTAAGGAGAGAAGAGAGGACTAAACACAGCATCGTGCAGACAGAAAGACAAAAGAGGAAACTGCAGGGAACCTGCTTAGGCCTGATAGTGGGGAGTGAATGCTAAGGAAGGATGGAGTGTGTGTGTGTGTGTGTGTGTGTGTGTGTGTGTGTGTGTGTATAGTATATATTTTATGATTAGGACATTTACAACACTTTATGAAGGACAGTTGAATTTGACCCAGGGGACTCATTGTCAAAGGAAAATGCTTAAGCTCTCCACATGCAGAGCTTGGAATAGTCTCTCATGTTCCCCCATGTCCGTGATACTGGCTAATGTCTGCTTCCTTTTGGCCTCCTCTTCTCTTGGCACACATGGGACTATATCTTCATTACCCTCCTAACATACATTACTCAGTGTTCTGATAGCCTGCTTCCTTGCTGGTATTTCCCAATTACAGGAAGAATGTCATTTAAGAGGAGATTATTTAGAGATTGCGAATATGCTCTACTAATCTAAATACAACTGAATGTGTGTCCACCATTAAAAGGATCAGCCTTCAGAAACCATTTGAACCCCATCGTGATGGAAAGGACATTTGTTTAGAGAAAAAACAGGAATGGTTCAAGTAAAAGTCATTACCCCTTTCTACCTCAACAAACTAACTGTAGATATCCCTTTCTACCTCAACACACTAACTGTAGTTAACACTTTCTACCTCAACACACTAACTGTAGTGACCCCTTCTACCTCTACAAACTAACTGTAGTTACCCCTTCCACCTCAACAAACTAACTGTAGATATCCCTTTCTACCTCAACAAACTAACTGTAGTTACCCCTTCTACCTCAACACACTAACTGCAGTGACCCCTTCTACCTCGACAAACTAACTGTAGTACTCCTTCCCTGGGGACTCCTGTTGTCGCTTTTACTTCTTTTGCCATGTGGTGTTGTTCCTCTTACGGACACCTTTTCACCTGGCCCCAGTCTTACTCATCTTCTTTTCAACCAGGTAAGTAGTTCTGAGAGAGTGGGTGTATAGAGTGGAAAGTATGTGTGTGTGTGTGCGTGTGATATTTGTACAGTGTTGAGAATTTTTTATTTTTTATTTGAATCACTGAAATTTTAAATGAATATTTATACAAAAAAATAACAGTGAAGTGCTAGGAATGTAAATGTAAGTTGCATGAGAATTAGCTATTTTACCTTTGGTATGCCACATGAATTTGTTTTGTAAATCCCTCTGAGATCATGCATGGGACTCGTGGAAAGCTTCAACATAAAAGCCCTCAATGCGCAGTTAAGCATGGTGGCTACACATAACTAGATTTCAGATTCTCACAGCAATGAAATATGTGGTCTAGACGATTTACCCTAGAGGAAGCTGTCACACTAGAGCAGGTAGGGTACTGCTGCCTTTTGGAAAAGTTAAGCACCACTCAGAGAAATGGATGCCACCAGTTTCTCCAGAGGTCCCAGTAAGAGGAATTGCTCTGGAAGTTTAATTGCTTTGGTTTTCCTAAGAAAATGAGACATCCCATAGTTAGCCCAAGTGTTACCCTAGCCATTTTGCCATGGGCACAATCTGTGTGGAGGGCAAAGAACGAGCAAGTGGTAGCAAGATGACTTTACTGGACTGCGTGTTACAGATTTCTGAGCATTGGGAGTCCATGCTTGGATGCTTATTTCCTGTCGAAAAAATTGCAATTTTGAGATTGTTTCAGATTCACAATCATTGTAAGACATAACACTCATCCTATACTCAATTTCTCCCTGTTGTTACTATTTGAAATATAGTATTGCATTCAAGATGTCCGCATTGGTGTAGTTAAGGTACGGAATGGTTTCGTACGCAGGAGGATCCGTCCGATTGCTCTCTCTTAGCCCTACCCACCTTTCTTGCCAGTCTCTGCTTTCTGAAGACGACTTTAATGCCAGTGGAAAATCAAGTATGGAGGAAACAAGGATTGCCAGGAGGCTTGACACCCAGGAATGGAACTGGTTCTAATAGGCGAGAGCTATATCATCCTAATTCTGCTCTGCTTGTTTTCCTAGGAAGGTTCTGCAGTATTTTTTCCCTGAATATCAGCTATCACCAGAATTCGACTGCATTTTTGTGGAGGACCCTGTAACAAGTTCGGAGGTAAGTTGACCAGTGTAGACTCTGAGACACTGACAGGGGAGCATGCATTTACTCCTCGGTGAAGCAAAAATGTAAAACATACCTTTAAAAGGACCCAGAATGGCTGAAGTGACTGACAATGAAGAGCTCGATATCAATTGGATAGTTCAGAATTGAAGCTGCATTTGATACCATGTAAGCAAGGGTTAAATATGGCTGGAAAAGATAATATGGGCTGACAAAAATCAGCTGCAAAGATCCAAAGAAATAGTACACAGGACCTGACTTATCTCCCTTTATCAAAAATAGATATTCTGTTCCTTAGAGACACTTCTATCTTGTATGAGGAGCTGGGAGGAGGAGTGGGTGTGAAGGCCACAGCAGAGGCTTGCTGAGTGAAGTGTGCAGGCACGTGGCCAACTATCACTTTTACTCGCAGTGAGGAAGCTCCCAGTGCCAGGATAGGTGGGTCCCTGGGTCCCTGATATGCTGGTGGTTATCTGAGGGAATGATGGATGAACCTGGGAAGACTTTCAGTGAAAAGAGCTTCCAATAATGAATCAGAGATGTTATGTACCTCAGTCTGATCTGGAGCAATATCTTTCATTTGCTAATTAATAGTCATTGGTAACAGTTAACTAGGACTGCTCTTGTCAGTATCACCAGTAATCTCCATGCTGACAAATTCAAAAACCACTACTTATCTTCTCTGACCTCTGAAACTTTCAACCAGCTGGCCACTTCTCCCTTCTTGAAGCATGTTCTTCGTCCGGTTTCTGTGATAACACGCTCTCCTCATTCTTGTGTTTCCCTGCTTATCTATATTTTCATTTTCTGTGTTGGCAACTCCTTCTCTGTCTGTTTGGTTTTTAAATGTCGTCTTGTCTAAGGGCTCGTTCCTGGACCACTTTCTTCTCTATAAGAGGCTTTTTCCAGGTCACCTTTGCCAGTCTATGGCATTAAACATTACTCCGTATGCCAGTGACTCTTGGTACCAGGCTTGTACTAATTTTTCCAAAAGAAACTATTTCCATAACCTGGCATTGCCTTTCCAGAAAGTCAGATCCCAACTGTATTCTTGGCAGGCCCCCTTAAATGTTTAATATTTTCCTTTTAATTATTCTTTATCTTGATTTTTTAATCTTTCGAATTGCATTAGCAATGTTTCCTTTATTAAGCTGCCTTAATCCTTTTTGGAATGATGGGAGGTATAATTTAGTTAATTGATTTTATTAGGCTGTGGCTTAAAAGACCCCCTGTACTAAGGTTGACCAGTTCTAGACCTTTTCAATACCATGTACTTGAATTTATAACTCCGTTATGGACAGTTTGTTCTCTAAAAGTTAATATCTTGTTCTATTATCATTTACAAAAACAGTTGGAGCAATGCCCAGAGCACATGAACACAAAGCTGAAAATGTGTTTCAACCAGGTAAGCTTTCTTTCAGGGTAGTCATTTATATTTTAAATGATCTTGTGTTCCAAAGGAGAATTAGTGTACATTTCCAAATGTTAGAGTTGGAAGGGAATCAAATTTGCATGCATTTATCAAGACTTAGATTAACATGTAACATCAAGTGCCATGAAACAACATCATTTTGAATTTTCAAATGCAAAATGTATACAGCACAAAGCATGTGAAACACTTGGAAAAAGACTATATTTTGAACCAGCAACATGGTATTCTGAGTCTTTGAGAGTTACAGTCACTGAAATGTTGATACTAGAATAAAGCAGAAATCATTTGCAGATTAAGTTGTAAATTGTTTCAGGGATTTTAATATCTTTGGATTATTTTTGTATGCTAATGTTATCAATAGTCTTGTTTCTGACTTTTTTATTATGAAAATAATCATTAAGATAAATAATGCCACAATACAAGAAAGTAAAAGGAATTCAAAATAATCCATCTATAGTCCAAAACTCTGTTAGACAGGGTTCTAGAGAAACAAAATCAGGACACTTGTGATATATATATATATCTATATGTATATATCAACACGAAGAAATAAACAGCTAATTAGTCCACAGAACAGTACAGAAGGCTCAGTTCAACTCACTTCCATGAGACAGTTAATACACTGGCAGTCCTTCAACTCACGAGGGCCTCCAGGTGCAAGTCAAGGAAGCAGACAGCTGAGTCTTCTGTAGAGCAACACAGACAGTCCAGCCAGAGGCAGCAAACAGTAGGGCAGGTCACCATCAGTCAGCCAGGGTCCGACAGTCCTCAGCTCAAGTGATGTACACACCAGCAGTGTGGAGAAGCAGGTCTTGAATGAACCTCAAACTACAGCAACACGGTCCATGGGTTGGGTATCCCACAGGTATTGTAGCTTGAAAGTTGAGGCAGAGTACTAGTTAAGGCAGCTGCACACTGGTCTGATCATCAGAGAGCAAGAGACATAAAGTGAGGCTTGCTGAGACATTTATCTCTTTGCCCTTCAATTAAACTGCAACCTTATTAATCCTACATGTGTTTATTGACCAGGTTGGTACAATAAACCTACCTAACACACAAACCAATCCAAGATTACTCCAATTCATTTTTTAGTATATTTTATACAATTTTCATACTCTATATCTAAAGAAGTATAGACTTTTTTTCTTTACAGTCTTGAAATTATACTGTGTACTTAGTTCCTCAAAATTTCCTGAAAAAAGAAGAACTTATAATATCCTTCAATTCTACTGAGGAAATATCTCAAAATGTTGCAGCCTTATTTTATGCTTACAGGAACTAAGGCGCCAAGATGTGAACTATGTCAAGGTGACAAAGAGAATTAATGTTGGAGTCTGGATGGCTGCTGGAAGTTTCCAGGCTCATTATAAAGCTGAGAACCTTACAACTTTTCATGATACTAGGACCAATATTGAGACATTCAAACATATTGCCTTTCAGTAAATTCAAATTCATAGCAGCCATATAGGACAGGTTAGAACCGCTCTTGTGAGTTTCCAAGACTGTAACTCTTTACAAGAGTAGAAAGCCTCGTTTTTCCCCCTCCTGATTGAGACTCTATGTAAACACTTTACTAGACTCTATGTAAACACTTTACTAGATTTTGTCAAATCTGTGCCAACTCCATCACTGCCATATGTGCTAGAACCTTCTTCAGGAAGCTTCCGCCATCTGCTGGAAAACTACCATGACATCATCCTGATCTGTAATAAATAGGACGTGACTTGCACTCTCTGGAGCTGTACTCCTTAGGAAGTTCCAGAGAAAGTTTCAGTATCTTGGTCTGAAGGTTTAAATAGAATGGTAAATGTCCCAAAGATAAATCGCTGGACAAACTTAAAATCAAAATAAGAACTTAATATAGGTCCTTACAAAGGCTGTATCATAGTATTCCATTTTTAGGATGTATTTCAATTTAACAACATTCACTGATAAGTTTTTCTCTGGTGTCTCAAACACATGCCTATTGAAATGTGAGAGGTCACATTTCATAAAATGAAAGGGGGTTGCATATTTTTAGTTTTTTATAATTTCAATTGAAAAGTGAATTTAGTTACTTCTAAATAGTATTTAGTTGGAGAAGTAATGATTGAACAGTTTCAGCTTGATAAAGCACTTGTCAACATTCACTAATGGCAATGAAAAAGAAATTTACTTTCAAAGTGTTTGACCTTTTTTCAAGCACTAATGTTATTTCCATCAATTCGTGTAAAACTCCCATTGTACAAGAACTATTCGAGCTGTGCACATTTTACCTGCACAATAGCTTTAGAGTTCGGCATCACTAACTCTACTTCAGGAAGGAAGAAATAAGAGATCCAGAGAGGTTGTGGGCCAACGGCATGCTTCATGAGAGCATGGGATTCGGGGTTAAAACCCAGAATTTTCTCGCTCCAAAGCCCTTGGTACACCATTTTCTTTCATATCATTCTTAGACAGACTTCTGTACAGTGAAATCTTGGTGTGTGAGATATATTTTGTGTGTGCTTGGTGGGATCTACTCAAGGTGTACTGACTGCCCTGCCAGGAATAATCCAAACTGAGACCTGGGACAAGCAGCCTGAAGGACTACTAGGAAGGGTTTCTGGATATCCCTCATGCTCTTTCTCTGTTAGTTAGGGAAGCTTGGTCTAAATGCTTCAGTAATAAAACTTAGAAATTTGCAAAGAGTTAGATTGCCATGCATCTCTGTTTATTTAAACCCAGATATGTCCTTTAATAATGCTTTAACCATGATACTTTTTAAGCAATTTAATTGGCACTGCATCCATATATCGTACAATTCAACAGTTCAATCATATCAAGAAGACTTGTACAATCATTGTCACAATCAGTGTGAGAACATTCTCTTCTTCCTTGTACTCCTTGTTCTTCGTGTAATTTTTTTCAATTGTTGCAAAAACAATAAGACAAAATATTCTTTCATTCAACAACTTTACATGAATAATTCAGTGCCATTGTTTATACTCTTTGTGCTATGCAACCATTATTGATAGCCCCCTCAATGTAGACATGAGACTGCTTTCAATGTGCTTGACCCAAGCCCGGGTATTTTCACTTGCCTCAACGGCCTATGGAAATTGTGCATGGAATAAGAAGACTGAAGAAGGAACCATGCGTTTGAATTGTGGTGCTGAAAAAGAATAATGAAAGTATCATGGACTGCTCTAAGAACAACCCGAGCTGTCTTGAAAGAAGTGTGGCCCACAAGGATGACAAGCAAAAGTCTTCTCTTTCGCTGCCTCGCTACTTTCCCAACATGCTATCCTTCTCTGGGAACTGATCTCTCCTGCTAGTCAAAGTACGTGAGATGATCTCACCCTACTTGCCTCTAAGGAACAGTACTCGTTCTCTGCTTCTTCCCAGACAGACATGCATGTTCTTTTGGCAGTCCAGGGTACTTTCGACCTTCTTCGCCAGCACCATAATTCGAATGCATTGATTCCTCTTCCGTCTTCTTATGTAATGCCCACCTTTCATATGGGGTAATTGAAGATACCGTGGTTTGGGTGCAGCATGCTTTAGTTCTCAAAGCGACGTCTTTTCTTTTCAACACTTTAAAGAGGTCTAACAGATTTGCCCAATGCAGTACATCGTTGATTTCTTAACTGCTGCTGCTGCTGTAAGCATTGATTGTGGATTCAAGCAAGATTAAATCCATGCCAACTTCAACCTTTTCTCCATTTATCATGATGTTGCCTCTTCGTCCTCTTACGAGAATTTTGGTTCTATTTACATTGAGTTGCAACCCAGATCGAAGGCTGTAGTTCTTGGTCTTCAAGTGCTTCAAGTTCTAGCTTTCAGAAAGCAAGCCTTCATCATCTGCACATCACAAGTTGTTGCTAAGACGTCCGAGTCCCATTTTCTTCGTCATAGAGTCAGTTCTTTGGATTACCTCCTTAGCATACAGATTTAATAAGTATGGTGACAAGGTACAAGTCGGATGCCCACTTCTCTTGATTTTAACCTGTGCAGGATATCTTGCTCTGTTTGAATGACTAGTTCTTGTGGTATGCACAGTTTCCACACGAGCACAATTAAGTGTTCTGAAATTTTCATTCTTCTCAAGGTTATCCATTTTTAGTTAGAATCCACAGTCACATGCCTTTGTATAATCAAGAAAACACAAGGAAATATCTTTTTGGTGTTCTCTGCTTTCAGCCAAGATCCAGCTGCCATCAGCAACATGTTCCAAGTCCCCATATGCATTGGACTCGAATTTATGGAAGCCCCTCTTGTAACCGTTGCTGAATGATACTCAGCAAAACTTTAGTTTTCAGGTGATATTTTAAATATTGTTAAACAATTTCCATATTCTTGTGGGTCACCTTTTTTTTTTGGAATGGGTGCAATTATAAATCCTCCAGGAGGTTGACCAGATATTTTTGCACAGATGAGTGAGTGCTTCCAGTGCTTCATCAACATGTTAAATATTGGTATTCCGTGCATTTCTGGATTGCTGCTCATCATTAATGCATT